AGAGCAGAACTACTGAGAGGACAGGGCGGGAGAGGTTATACCACTACACAGCGATAGCCACGTGTATAAAAGATGATCGGAGAGAATGTGCGAGGATGAGTTTACTGTGGAAAGTTCAATTACGGATCGGCGGCCGGCGCCGCGCGAGTATGATTCTGGATACCGGCCTAACTATGATGAAGACGTCTGAAAATTCTATTCACATGGATTAGCGAGGGCCATCAAGAGAGATTTTTCCCCTCTTTGGCGGTAAATAATAAATATGAGATAGGGTTTTCTACAATTTTCGAATCGTTTTCTGTCTTTCAATTTCCTGAATGCCCTTGAGGAGAGTGCGTGGCTAGAGGTCCTGTGATGAAGTGTGTCAGAGATCGAATTGGCTTTTTCGCGAAAATATCGAGAGCAGAGTCGGTATATCCATTTTTTATTTTTGTTTATATAAAATAAATTGTTGCTAAAATCAATTGATATATAGGATGTTCCTTGAATTAATGACTGATCGCGCGCGCGCGCGAGTTAGAATACGCAAGTCTGCATGCCAAACAACTCAAAACAAGATAGTGCTATAGCCTTCAACGTTTCTAATAGAATATTTTAATGAGATGTATAAAAACGTTGAACAATGCTTAAGTGTTCGGTAAGTAGTAATAAGTGTATATGGATATATATTGAGTGAAATTTCGCGGGAAACTTTTTTCCATTTAAATGTTCGTATTAAAGCTCTATTAATAATTTTAGAAACAAAACCGTCCCCCATTATAAATAAACGTCCCCTCGTGCAGTAACACAATTATCATGTAACACTCTTTTAGAATCTACAAATTACTCTATAATAAAGTGTAAGCATCTTGAAACCTACTAGTAAGCTTGTTTATTAGAAAGTTTAAAAGCCTCTTAATGCTATTTAATTTTTATGTCAGGGTGTAAGTTAACCAGAGATCAGGTTGTGTCAGTCTTTAAAATTAATGTAGTATAATCGAGTCGTATGTTATTATATAAATTTTGACACAAACAAATAAATAAAATAAAATCAAAATTATATATCTCGTACTCTTTTCAAAAAACCATTAAAAAAGTAATGTGTTTTGGTGAGTGTTTCCAGTAACGCGGGTATTTGTCTTGGCAGATTGTTGTGGTAGGTTTAGTCTGGGAGGAAGTTAAGTTACAAATGTTTAAATAAAGTACTGAAAAATTAAATTATATATATCTTCGCTGCAAGGCTTTGTGACTGTGGAAAGAAATATACTTTGATTGGTTTGGATTTTCTTTTTTGATTGGAATTATTAACTTCTTTGTGAGACAATTTTATTTTTTAACACAGACATACTATCTTATTCATAAATTTCTTCCTAGGTGGCATAATTACCACTATTGTGTTTATCAAAATAAATAATAGAAACACAATGATTTGTCGATTAATGAATTGAACAGATAAGTTTTGATACATGTCTCCGAAATGCAGTGGTTATATCAAAAGAAAAGTGCATGTATACAGATGGCTAATATTGCTACAATAATTGATGAGAGATGGGAGAACAATTTTTAACAAAGCTGTTGAATAGGTGCTTCTATAGTAGTGATGGGCATTACGATTCTTTTTAGTGAATCAATTTCTCATATTGAATCGACTCCTACGATTCGTTCATTTGTCATTTTGAACGAATCACTTCTAACCCGAAGAGACCAATCGGACACTTCTTTAATCCACTGGAAATAATGAATGCTCGGTTGCGATTGACATCTCAATTAGATCCACTTTTTTTACTGTATAGTACTAAACAGAAGGGTTGAAGTTCAATGGATGCCAATTTAAAAACATTGAAATACACAGTATTGTAGATTGTATGGGAAAGGGAAATTCAGTCACAGCGACCGTATAGATCTATTTTGTTCCCGTAACTTGAGTTATAACTCATCATACAGTCTTAGAGGTTTGATAAAAGCCAGTAACTAATACGGTTTTACAGAGGTTAGCTCTCCATCTCCGATATCAGTCGCACAAAACATTATGGCACGATAATGGTTGTCGTCTCGGCGCACTCAGTGATGAGGTGTTCTGGTGTTTCACAATTTTTCCTACAAAATCTGCATTCGCCGTTGTTTCTTAGCATCAGTCTACTGAGGTGTTCATTGGGGAGACAGTGTTCTGTTGAACACAAATGCAAAAACCCCGTGACAATCCGAAGATTGTTCTTACTTAAATCAAGGAAATTATTTGATTTTTGTCGGTCGCAAGCCATGAGAAAAAATTTCGAGTGTCTTAAACCGTTGGAGGTTCCCCATTCTAGTTTGCAGATGGAGCCTTCTGGGTTCTTGAGTTCTTCTAAGTTGGTTACCACTTGGGAAGCAGAACGGTTCTGGTCCAGTTAGTGGAGTGTTCGCTCCTTTTCTAGCTAGATCGTTTGCTTTTTCATTACCTTCTATCCGTTGGTGGGCTAGCACCTAGAGTAGGAGGACTTGATACATTTTCTTTGCCTAATTTGTTCAGCTTCTCAAGGCATTATTTGACCAATTTCGAATTGATAGTTACTGATTTGATGGCTTTTGAAGGCTGCTAGACTATCAGATAAGATGGCTATTTCTGGTTTCCGTCAGTTCCTATCTAAGTTAAGTTGTACGCATATTCTGATATATTAGATATCTGTCTGAAAAATGATGGGGTAGGTGTCCATTGGTTCGGAGTATTTAGTTTTCAACCCAAATATTCCTATCTCTGTTCCTGCTTTGGTTTTGGAAGCCATGTTATAGTATGATCTTTTAACTGCTGAGCAAACATTCTCTCTTCTAATTCTTTTTGTTGCTCACTACTACAGTGTCTCAAAGTTGTACATTTTTGGTATGTCGTCTACTGGAAGTTGGAGGAGTGGAATTTTCCTTTTTGGGGTTGTTTCAAGCTCCTCAGCTGACAATTTTCTCAGTACTGTTTCCATCAGTGCTCATACTAGTCATTGTCGCATTGACATATCTACCGATGACAATGTGCAGTGGTGTTAAGTTAAAAATGACCTCCATAGCTAATATAGGATTGATTTAGAAGCATTTCCAGCTTTCTAAGATGTTCTAATATTTTCTGGCTTTTCTAATTTGGTTGCCAATCAATCCTTTTTTAGGTTTTATGGTGAATTTTTATCTTATTGATCATTATTCTTGGTTTTATTTTAATGTCTTTTTTTAATTTAATACTATGCAAACTTAGTGTTTCGTAAAAAATAGGATTTTCAGTACGAAAAGCACAAATGCAGTTAAGTTTCTAATTGTGGTTTTTAAATAGATGGATGGATTAGGTATTAAACCAAAGGCGAATTTCTTCATACTGGTTTTAAATGGAAAAACTAAAAAAGGTGCAAAACAATATTTGAGTGACGTGAAATACCTAGATTGAAAGGATAGCAATTTCCATTGTCACAAATTTTTGGAAATAATAAGGTTCCTTTTAAGTTTTTACTATTTTTTTTTGTATTTCAGTGCATTTTATCCTTATTTGTAGGGATTAGAAAATTATTCATTAAAATGAATGAAAAAAAAAGGATAAAAACAGTCGACCAACTGAATCTGAGTATATGTTGCCGATATAAACGTATCACACATTACTCGGTAGTAGTTTATCCATAGTTTCAAGAAAATAATATTCGCGGATCAAATTTGCGGTTTTATCGTATTCTATAAGTATAATTGGTTAATAATTATCCTTTTTAATTACTCTTTTATCTATGTTCCAAAAACATTTATAACTTATCTTTAAACTGTCTTAATTTATCTTTACTGTGTGTAAAAGAGTCTTTAGCCAACGTTTTAAATTTTATCTTCTCATCATTATTAAGTTGACAAATTCAATCTATATCTAAATTTAGAGAAAAAAAGCATACATTCATAAACGATTAAACCTATAATTATCCAATATCACATAACATATTTTCCCCTAATTAAAAAATCCTTAACGACCCTTTTAGTCTATTTACCGCTACGAAAGCAAACATTAATTTACAAACTTAACCAACATCAATCACACGCCTCAAATATTAGCTCACTAGTCCAATACTATTGGCTAGAGAGGCGGAGCCAAAATCCTACTCAACTTAAAATGATCTTTATACATACCCGCAGTAACGTCGTATTCATCCTGATGACGGTACAAGCGATTCCAGCTTTAGGGTACCGAGCGATAAAGGCGCTATTCGATTGGCGCTGGCGTTAAGTCTTCGAAGCCCCCTTGAAGAAGCGCAGCTATTTGTCAGAAGGTATCGCCTGAAAGTGGATAATTAGTTAAGAGCTTGGTCTCGAGTGGGAAACCAGTCGATAATTGGTTTCGAACTATTCGACATGTTTCAAAGTTACGAGAATACTTATGCGCGGAATTGCGATACGACAAATTTGATGACGCCGTTCTCCGTCCAAAGAGATATTCTCAACATGAATATGCAAGCCGAAGATGCATTACTTTTAAGAAGGAGCCGGTTGATGTTCAGCAGCTTGGGATTGTTTCTGGAACAGGACATATCCTGCAGGGAAGTGAAAACAGTACAGTGCAATTGGTGGGTACTACTGTGGAGAAGCTTGAGGTACGGCATACAACAACAAAAGCTAGCTGGAGTTGTGACAGTGGGTTTTAGTGATGATAATGGGTCCCCTTCGTATGTACCACATGGGCAACAGGTTAATGCGATGTATAGTTGCAACGTTTATCAGGAAGGGCAGCACAGGCAGGCGATTTATGAGAAAGTGGACAGTCCAAGTAAGTGATCTACATCTCAAATCAACTTATCATTTTTGCTTATGTGTTATATTTATAGCAAAATATTATACACCAAATCACCACAACACACCAAAACACCGTTACTTTTGCACTGGACGCGCGTTTCGCTAACCAAGTTAGCAGATGATTAAAACTCAATGAGTTTTAGTGTATTGTGGTGATTTAGTGTTTTATTTTTCTGTTGTAACACAAAGGTTCCAACCCCCAACTGTAAGACTATAATTATATCTTATATTATATTATATATATATATATATATATATATATATATATATATATATATATATATATATATATATATATATATATATATATATATATATATATATATATATATATATATATATATATATATATATATATATATATATATATATATATATATATATATATATATATATATATATATATATATATATATATATATATATTATATTATTAGCATGAATATTAGTAAATAATTGTTTTCTTTTTTAAATCTATATAATCTTAGGTGTTATTAAATTGTACCTAAGCGTTATTTTTTGCTTGCCTCCAGATGTATTATACAGGGTGAGTCTTAAATAGCTGCAAATATTTTCCAGGGCTGGTAGTTCGATAAAAAGAAACATATTTTTCTCTTTGCCCGTTTTCAAATAACTGCAAAATAGCTGATTAAGTTTTCTGTTTTAATGTAATCTTTTCTGTTTTTTTTTCTTGTAAATTTAATCTAATCCCTATGTTGCCATTAGGGTTTCCAATTTTCTGGATCAGGATCCCCTTTTGAAATCCCAGGATTACCCAATATTCTATTGATATCTAACTAAATTTGTTATCTAAATTGATTAATATCTGATTGACTATCAGAGTGATAAATTTAATATAAAGAAATACTTCATCAAAAAGAAAATGAGAAAAGAGCTTTAATAAAATAAATAATAACAAAATAACATTCATATTTAGTGCAATATTTAGTAAAATTGCAATTCTTATTGCAAAAAAGTATAGCAAATACGGAAATTAGATATTGAAATGCTGCTTATCTACTATAAATAAAATATGATCTTTGAAAGACTAAAGTGTATAAGGCCGAATAATTTTAGGTTAGACATTTAAATTTTTCTAGATTTTCAGGATACCGGGATTTCGAGGATAAACATACACTGGGATTTCGGGATCCCGGTTTGGAAATCCTAGTTGCCATATTATCGAGATATTATGTCTTTTACGTTTAAAATTAAAACATTTTCTTTTTTTTTCAAAAAATTACAATTTTTAATTTTTTTTACTAAAAAAGAACCTCATAGACGTGTTTCTGGGGTCGAGATATACTACCCCTATAAATATTTATTTATTTACACTTATTTAAGACTCACCCTGATGTATAGGTAAATTTCAGATACCAAACATTTTTTTGGTTTTTCTCTCATGTTATCAAATCAAATGCACGGCCTAGGTGCGTTCACGTTTTGTTGCCAATTTTAGATGGGTCTCTTGTTTTAGTTTTTTTTTCTAGCAAAAATTTAATTTTTTCTAGGGTTCGCAATTTTAACTTATTTTTTTCTATAAAATATATTATTAAAAAAAAATTGAAACATTCTTAGGTTCCATTTATTATACGAAAATAATAAGAATATGATGTTATCTAAAACTATTAGGTAGGTATCGACATTATGTTCAGTAGATATCTATATTTTATATATACTTCTGGTTATTCTTGTATTTTTAGTCTTAGGAAAGAAAAAATAAATAAAAAAACAAAGGAAAAAATTACAAACTATACATGAATAATAATAGAATTAATAAATTAATTAAAAATAAGTGGCAAAATAATATTGCGGGATTAAATATTGGAGGAGTGACAAAGTGAATAAGTGACAAAATAATTATATTTTTTAGTTTTTAATTATAGTAACTTTATAGTCGTAACTCATAAATGTTATAGCTAATATCACTATTCATGAAAAATTCATTTAAAAAGTTTATAAGTTTATAACAAGCGCTTGTTTATAACAAGAGCGTAGATATGGAGCAGGGGGTAGAGGGGGCATAATTACCCCAGAGCCATCGCCTCTCGCCTCTAAATATTTGAATAAATATAAGGTAATGATTTTATGTCAAACTCGAGATCAAAAATATCTAATTGTAAATGGTATTATACTCATTATCTAAATACTTGGATTCACTTAAAATCTCTATTTGAAAGATTTTTTCTGATCATATTTTTTATTTTTTTTAATAACATTTAGTATTCCAAGACATCTTCATTCAATGAAGAGATAGGTATGACTTAGACAGTTTATTTAATTAATTACTATGTGTCACATCATTTAACAAGTGGCTTCAGATGTGTATATCTTGCTTAGAAAAAAATAAAAAACTTTTGTTCAAGAGCAAAACTGAAATTATAAAAAAAAATAAACAAAGCTACTCTAAAAAAAACTAATACCGCTGCGACAGTAGCTTCCAGTCGTCCTGGTGAATATAATCAATAAGAAAATCAAAACTATTATAAAACTTGATAAGAGATAATGTAAGACATAGAATTAATGTCTAAATTTTTTGAAAGAGCTCATTTTTTTTTATTTCTTGAAAAAATACTAGCTATTTCCTAACTGAAATAGAAATCTGAATAATAAAAAAAAATATATTTTTTTTGAATGCCACAAAATACACACACCGGAAAAGTCTAGGGATATTACAATTTTATCCAGCCATCGTCAGTAATTTTATTATTTGCATTTCTGATATAATAAAATTAAAATAAACAAATAGTTTACAGGACGTATTGGGAATAAAAATGCAGAATTTACCAGAATTTTCAAATTTACCTTGATTTTTTATTGAACTCAAAAATACACACATTTTTTTATTCTAAACTGTGAATTAAAAAAAAAGATAATACCATTTTTACTTAATAAAGGGTATGGTCTCCTCTGCTGTTCATTACTGCCCTACATCGTCTCTCCATGCTCCTGATCAGGTTGTCGATCTCTTCTTGAGCCTGCCACGCTGCATTCACGGCCCGAACAAGATCCCTACGAGTTTCACGAGGCATACCCATTCTCAAAATTCTCCTTTGGACCGCATCCCATACGTGCTCGATGGGGTTGAGGTCAGCAGGTGTGCCGGCCAGGGTAAGATGTTTAATTGATGAGCATTGATAAACTCACTTACCACTCTGGCTGTATGAGGCCGTGCATTTGTCATCCCATGAGAATGAAGTTTCTCCCAAAATCATTGGCATATGGTAACACGACCAGGCTCAAAGAGTTAAATCACGATATATGTGATTTCCGTTAGAAAACCTTTCAAGAAAAACGAGATCAGTTTTTTTCAGCCTAACTGGACTCCTCCCAGACCATAACTGTTCCACCTTGATAAGGGTGCACTTCCTGAACATGATCCAACCAGATAAGATTTCCCGGTTCTCTATACCCTAAGCCTTCTCAGATCCGGATGAATTCCAAAGCGTGACTCATCCGTGAAAAGAACTTTGGCTCATTGTTCATTCGACCACTGAACATGATCTTGAGCCCACAAATATCGTACCTCTCGATTTCCTTTCGTTAAGGATTGAGCTCTCCAGGGGCGTCTGCTTTTGAAGTTGACCTATCTTAATCTATTGCGTGAACAGTGTCAGGACTAACAGTTTACATTATGGGTTTTCCTGGAGAATTAAACTAAGCCCTAGTGATGTAAGGAGTCGGTCGCGCATTTAATTGTGCAAAATGATCTTGCTGAGGTCTAGTAATACGATGTCGCCCTGCACGTGCCTTTCAGCAACATCACCACTTTCACGGTAGCGTGCATTTAATCGCGATATTACACTTTGCGTTGGATTTAATGCTCTAGCTACGTCGATTTGGCGCATTCCAGCTTCGAGCATACCCATGGCCCTTAGCATTTCGTCTTTGTTAAAATGTCTACGCTCCATAATGTCGTTTAATACTAAACAGAGTTATTTGAATGAATTCTGGTCAGTTATCATAAAAACATAGCCAGTACAGGTTAAATTCGAACAATTGATGCTAGCTACTGATGCTGCTTTTTATACATTTGACAAAAAATGCGCAAATACTTCTGCAAAGTCGAATCGGCCTACAAATATGTGGTTGTTTATTCAAAACATTTATTTTTAACTTTAATAAAATGATATCCCTAGATTTTTCCGGTGTGTGTAGTAGACTAGAACTAGACAGCCGATATATACACAGATTTCGATAGACGACATCTAAAACCAAGGCTTTTGGTTAATTTAATGTATTTGGATCAAATGTAAAGTTAATATGCCTTGCAAGATACCGTATGATAACAAAAAACGGCATCAAAGGCGGCTGGGGAATGACAATCTATGATAATTTTGGCGAATTCAATCTAGGCACCATTTACTAAAATTTGACATATAACTTATCAAAATTAACACTAATTATAATATGATTAAAAAAGGATGAAACGTTTCCAGACAAACAAATCTATATTCAAAAAATTATTTTCACTCGAATTTTAAACTACACCATTTAAAAATAATTTTTAGTCGATATAAAAATAAATTACAACCTTCTTAAGAATAACTGGCAGTAGCCGCCATTAAATAAGAAACAAACCTACTGACATTTAGGGTTTTTGACCTCGCCAAAATTATTATTGACTGTCATTTCCCAGCCGTATCTGACGCCTTTTTTTCATCGTATAGGTAGGTATAAAACAGATAGCAACTACTTAATAATTTTAGCTGCCTTTTAAGAAATTTCTGAAATTATAATTGTAATCTAACTATTGAAAATCAGATTGTTATGCGGAAGTTTCCAAATTCTTTACTTTTTTGTTGTTTTTGTCGCGTTCAATTTTGAAAATTGAGCCGTTTCGAGTTGAGCACACGCCTCTATGTCTAATGAAACCCAATATTTATTTAAGAAACCGAAAAATTTCGAAGAACAAAACAAACAGATGCTCAGCTATCAATAATTTCTGTGACGGACGAGTTCAGTAACATGCAT